CACCTTCACGAATTGTTGAACGCACGCACATCTCTGTAATATCATGCCAAGACCATATCAAGAAAGAAAAAAAAAAAGGGGAGACCAATTCAATATCATCATGCAAATCTTTCCTATGAGAGGGGAAAAGATTATCTGGTGCTAAAAGGAAAAGAGGAGAAAATGAATCACAGGGATAAAATATGCGAAGGAAACCATGGAGTGGCTGTTCCTGTTCCTTCCACCATGCTTCGACACCATCTAGAGGTTTTGTGGTTAATCAAGGTAAGATATCGCCTCAAGCACGCTTCAAATCCCAAATCAGTGGTCTATGCCCGAAATTCGAGCCTAGGGCTTGGGAAATTAGATGAAACCCAGACCGAGAAAAGTGCCCTGTTCGTGAGGAATTCTAAAAAAAAATTATAAAGGGGGGGCCTCCACATGTACATATATGCGTATGTAAATGTGTATGTGTATAGATGCATGTGCCCGGAGTAACGAGATGTAGAAAACAAGAAAAAAACAAGGGAACGATGCTTACCACTGCTATTGCTGGAATTCTTCCAGCAGCTTGCCGAAGTCGAAAGGGGGGGAACTGCCTTGCGATTACACAGTAGAAATTGCTCCACACTTCGCCAAGTGACTTTGCTAAGCTTGGTTTTGGACGGATTGAAGAGCGAATCGAAGAAATTTGAAGGATTTTAAAGAAGAATCGTGGCTTTTCCCGATGGTTGCGAGCGGTTTCCTGGGCGTAACCAACCAGCGGTTGTGGTTGAGGCCTCACTGTGATTTCTCGTTTCCCAAGGGTTCTCTAGACCTGTGTATGAAAGGAAACCAGCAAAAACGAAAAGGGGGCAACTAGTTTTAGGGCTCGCGCGTACGGAAGAGAGGAGTCAGGGATGAGAAGAAGAAAAAAAAAGAAGAGAAGAAAAGGAAAGAAGAATAAAATAAAATAAAACAGGATTGATGGAAGCGTACCTGGAGAATGCAAGGGACTGCTGGAAAATAATCATGGCAGCACACACGCGGGAAACG